TGGGGGGGTGGTTCCAGCTTGAACCGGAAGCCGGGAGGTGCCAGGACCCGAGGGGCACATTCCCGGCCAGGCACACCCTGCAGCCCCGCAGGACCCTGACACGCAGATTGGCCTTGGTGCTCTCCTGGTGTCCTGAGAGGGTTTGTTTGCTTCATTCACTCACGAGACGTCCCCTGTGGCGCTGTTCTGTGTAGCGGGAACTGGTTCTGCCAGCCAGAAAACTGGGGGTCAGAGATAATCCAGCCGGCGGGGCACTGCGTACCACGCAGGCTGGATCCTAGACACTCCATAGGGTTCCCCAGCACTGCCAGTTGTGATCTCTGAGCACAGAGTCAGGAGTACACGGCCAGGTATGTTCCTCCTGAAAAAGTACTTTTTCAAAAACATCCGGAAAATTGTTCTTGGCGCGTGACTTGCTGAGGTAGCACATGAGTTTGTTTAGCTGGCACCTTCCGGACACGTGTGTGCAGGGAGGGTTGGGGCAGGAGTGACACTGGGGTGTCGCCAATGTCCCGTCCACCCTGGGGCCGCTCACTGGAGGGGCTAGCTGGCAGCGTGGGCAAGAGAGGCCTGCGAGTGAGCCGGGGCTGTGGACATCAAGGCAGACAGAGCCGGGGACGGGCTGAGACTGGGTGGTGGGGGAGCAGTGGAGGAGAGGCAGAGGAAGGGGACCCCGACAGAGAGCAGCCAGGCTGTTCACACCTCAGTGAAGAGACTGCAGGGATGGAGAAATAGTACAAGAGTGAGAGACTTGCCTTCCACCCGGCCCACCCCAGTTGTTCGGCTCCCAGCCTAGGATGTATTTCCCCAAACACCACCGGAGTAATTCCTGAGCACAGAAGCAGTAGCAAGACCTGCGCATGGCCAGGTGTGGCCCAGAAACCACCCCCTCGCCACCCTCGCCAAAGAGAAGATGTTCTGTGTAAAGCATCAGAAGGGCCTTGGCACCTCATTCATGCTTTATTTGATCTGGTTGAGGGGCCAGAGTGATAGTACAGCGGGGAGAGCATTTGACTTGCATGCGGCCGACCCAGGTTCAATCCCCGGCATCCTATATGGTTCCCTGTGCACTGCCAGAGTAATTCCTGATTGAAGAGGCAGAAATAACTCTGGAACATTACTGGGTATAATCCAAAAAGCAAAAAAGAAAAAAAAAATTCTGTCTGGATGAAGGAGTCGATGTGCATTGATCATTCTCTTACATTCTCTTACGTGTTGGCTCTGTGCAAGCATGGGGTCAGGCGTCAGATGACAGTCCCTGCCTGCCCAGATGAAGACCTGAAGCTTTAAAGGTCTAGGGCTGGGGCGGGCTGGGTCAGCTCAGCTGGGTGGGTTTATTCATTTTTTATTTGAGGTAGCACTGGGTGGCTGAACTCCAGGAGGCTAAGAAATTGGGTTCCCAGTACCTTTCACTGCCCGGGGGGTGGGGGCGGGGGGCACTTTCTCCATGCAGTAACCACACCTGAGCCAAGCCAGAGGTGGGGGCCCCTGCGTCGGGTTCATTCTCAGCACCGCACGGTCCCTCAAGATCAGCTGGGAGAGGCCCCTGGCATCAAGTAGGGCAGTAGCCCTAGTGTGGCCCAAACAAAAGTTAAATGCTGTCATCCTCAGGACTGGGGTTGGAGCACGCCGGCCTTTGCACGTGTGGGGTCCAGGGGTCAATCTTCAGCACCACACACATGCATACGCATGTACACATGCACCCACATACCCCCCACCCTCACTCCATCATTTTATTTCTTTTTTTTTCTCTTTTGGGTCACACCCGGCGAGGCACAGGGGTTACTCCTGGCTCATGCACTCAGGAATTACTCCTGGCAGTGCTCAGGGGACCATATGGGATGCTGGGAATCGAACTCCGGTCGGCCGCATGCAAGGCAAACGCCCTACCTGCTGTGCTATTGCTCCAGCCCAAATAATTTTCTTTCCAAGTTGGAAAGAAAACCTACCTGCTTCCTGTCAGTAGTTTGACAGATCCAAAGCTCCGGGTTTAAAATCGGCCTGGGCACTGCCGGACAGACCTTCACTGGGTCATTTCCTTTTGTATGTTGGATTATAAGGTTCATACTGAGTCATGCAAAAATATCCAAATGGTGCCAAGGTATAGAGCAGCCAAAGGAAAGTGTCCCGTGCCCTGGAGCCCCTTGTGGGATTCCACTCTCCAGAGATTTATTCTCCCACACTACTTATATATCAGATTTATTCTTTCACTCTCTCTGTACACACGTTGCATGGAGATGTGATCATATAACACATCATGTTCTGAAACCTACTTTCATTCTCAACCTCAGTCACAGGCAGATTCAAGACAGTGCGTGCAGATTCAATAGTTGCATTCCAGGGCTGTGGAAATACTGTAATTGAATTAAATCAGTTCTTCACTGGTGGGCGTTAAGGTCTCTTTCTCTCTCTCTCTCTTTTTTTTCTTTCTTCCACTTGAAAAAAAAAATAAGCACCGCCTGTGCCAATACAATTGAGTACTTGTATGAGGATTTGGGTAGGCTTAATTCTTGGCAGTGAAATTTCAGGATCAAAGGGGGAAAGCATTTTAGCATCTGGGAGACTTTGGGACTCGTGTAAAAGGGAATCCTGGGGGAGATTGTCCTAATCTCACTCAAGTGAGGCTGGGTAGTTAGTTTTCAGGTAAGTTGATTGGCTCAGACAAATCAGGTCTTTGGTCTTTTCTCTTCCGGCTCTAGAGTTCAGGATGCGTTTGTCTTCTTGGAACAGGAGGAGGGGCTGGGGGGGGGGTGACTTTCGTCCTTTCTCATTCATCGGAGTCAAGTCAAGTCACGTGCATTGGCATTAGCCAATCACTGGCAAGGGAATAGGCCCCTTAGGATTGGCTCAGCCCAGGGCAGGTGCACCACAGGAACTGGGAAGGGGATGGACCAGGGCCGTGCCAGGGAGGAAGGAGGCTGGCTCCTGGGCTGGCAACCTGCTGCCCTGCTCCTTCCGGCGATGTTGGCCACAGTGCTCTGCAGAGAAGGCCTCGCTCTCTGGTTGTTGCAGTTCGGAGAGTGCTCACCCTTCTCAGCCCTGGAGCCCTGATGATCTCAGAATCACTTGTGAGCTCAGGCACCTTCGAAATGAGGCTTCCCCGTTTCTGGAAAGATATAGCAGGTTTGCAGCCAGAGTGCTCTGTGGGGGCCGAGGCGACAGCCCAGAGGGGAGGGCATTTGCCTTGCATGTGGCTGACCCTGGTTCGATCCCCGGCATCCCATATGGTCCCCGGAGCACTGCCAGGAGTAATTCCTGAATGCAGAGCCAGGAGTAACCTCTGAGCATCCCCCCAGTGTGGCCCTAAAACACAAGCAAGAAACAACAAAAACTGCTCTGCAGTCCACTCGTTTTGAATCTCAAATGTTTAGGCCGCTTTCTTGTGGGACATCCTGTGAGGTGTTTTTAGTTCCCTTTTGTTCAAACTGGTGACCTCTCACCTGGCTCCGCACTCAGGAATCACTCAAGGCGGTGCTCAGGGGACTATGATCAAACCCGGGTCGGCCACATGCAAGGCAAGTGATTGCCCCCTGTACCATTGCTCCCGCCCCTAGCGATCTCTCTCTCTAACTTTTTTGGGTCACACCCGGCGATGTACAGGGTCTACTCCTGGCTCATGCACTCAGGAATTACTCCTGGCGGTGCTTGGGGGACAATATGGGATGCTGGGAATCGAACTCCGGTCGGCAAGGCAAATGCCCTAGCCGCTATGCTCCAGCCCCGCGATGTCTCTCTTGCTGGCGTCACATCCCCTATTCTTCCCTCCTTTGGGGCAGTACTGGGAATCAGACCCAGAACCCGGCACACTCAAGGCAAGTGCCCTTCCGCTGAGCCACATCCCCAGTCCTTTTCTGGTTCATTTTGTTCAGCAATTTCTTCTTCACTTCTGCTCTCTTCTCTCCTTTATCATCAGCTGGGCGGGTGCACTCCCTGTGGGTTAGCAATCCCTCCGGAGTATCCAGTTGCACTGTTTGAGAGCTGCCTCCCGCAAAACCCTGAACCCAAGTCAGCTCAGTTCTTTGCCACTCTGCAAGAATCATTTTCCTTCCACGTCCTGTGAGCTGCTCCTCACTGTCCCCGGCACGTCCGCATTTCTACCCACGGTTAGAGCAGACGAGGATGTCCGAAGCTGGCTCTTCTCCATCTCTCTCGGGTCTCCGGCCCCAAAGCCACTTCCATGTTCAAACAGCAATTGCTTCACGGTCCCACAGTCCGCAGGGGCCAGCGCCTCCTGCCAGGATGGCATCCCAGGCTCTTGTGTGACTCTCTCAAACTTTTTCTCTTTTGGGGCCACCAGAGGATACTCAGGCCTACCCCTGGCTTCGAGCTCAGTGGTCACTCCTGGCGGGGCTCGGGGGACCCTTTGCAATGCTGGGAATCAAACCCGGCTTGGCCGTGTGCGAGGCAAAAACCTTACCTGCTGTCCCAGCCCTCTGGCCGCCCACCTCTCACTTTTATTTCATTGTTTAAATTTTTATTCTGTTTGGGTCACACCCAGCGATGCACAGGGGTTACTTCTGGCTCGCACTCAGGAATCACTCCTGTCGGTGCTCGGGGGACCATATAGGATGCTGGGAATCGAACCCTGGTCGGCCGTGTTCAAGGCAAATGCCCTATCTGCCATGCTATCGCTCCAGCCCCCCACCTCTAATTTTTAGTCCCTAAAAAACCACCTATACCATCCTTCCCTGAGGAGGTAAATTGAGAGTGGACATGGGACATTTCCATGCCTAGGGGCTTGGGCGTTTTGCTTGGGCATGTTGTAAATGACCCTGTCTGATGCCCGCTTCACGGGGCCATGGTGGTCCTGAACAGTCCAGAAGGCTCCTGGGCAAATACCTGCTAGTGCCACAGCCACACTGGCCTTCTCCTAATGGAACTGGAGGCCATCAGGGTCCAGTGTCCTGTGTGATATCAGAGTAGGGAGTGGTGTTGGCCAGAAACAGCGCCGAAGGTGAAGGGTGTGAACCTGACTGCCCGCGGCCGTGTTCTCTCCGCAGACACTGATGGAGAGGCAGAGACGGAAGGCGGACATCGAGAAGGGGCTGCAGTTCATCCAGTAAGTGGTCCAGCCTGGCGCACTCGGATGTGTCCCCCACTCGCATCTGTGTGGCTCCCACAGGGCTCCTGCCGCCTCCCCTGGGCCAGGCCCGGCCCTCAGTGCCCATGGGTGGGAGCTGACATTTACCCAGGCCAGTCTGGGGAGTCTGCAGGAAACGGCTCTCAGTGCTTTCACGGGGGCGTGTCTCACTTCAGTCCTTGTTTCTGGGGGGCCGTGCCCCCGAGGTCTGGCTTCTGGTCCAATGTTCGTCCTTTGGGGTGGCCTCCGGATCTGTGAAGTGGAGAGAAGCCTCATTCCTGTGGGGGGGGGCTAAGGGTATGAGGTGATTGTTCCCTTGGGTCTCCCCTCTGCCCGGGAGCTCTGTGAGAGCTCTGCAGTGGACAGTCCCTGGGATGCCCGAGGGACCCCTTGGCCGCATTAGGACCCCCTCCCTCAGCACTGACCTCATCACCCTCCCCTACTCCCTCAAGCCTGCACCCTCCGCCTCTGGGCACGGGGTTGGGCCTGCTGTGATCTGCACTGGCTGGTGGCCACTGCTTGTGGGGGGCCTTTGACGCCAGATAAGGGGGGTCTTCAGACCTGGTGCGACCTGGTAAAGAGGAAGCTGGGCTGATGGGGTCCCCATTCCCCCCCACCCCACACACACGCATACACATCTCACTCTTTTGCTCGGGCCACTGTCTCCGACCCCAGTGATGTCGGCAAGGCAGCAGCTGTGGCATCAGAAGGCGCCAAGCACTGAGCCAGGCCCTTGCGCTGTGCCCCTGGTGCCCCTGGTGCCCCTGGCCCCTCGCTTCCCCTCTCTGGGGGTTTGGGCGAGCAGCCCGCCTTCCTTCTCACCCTGCCTTCTCCCACCAAGGGGCCTGGAAGAGGCGCGGGGTGCTGCACCCACTGCTCTGAGTTCGGCCCTGAGCTTCCTGGCCGGTGGGCATGAGAGGCTGGCCCGGGGCTGCCAGCCTCGGACCTCAGAGGGGACGGCGGAGGCGGGGGGCATCCCTGGGTCCCGGGGCTCACCCGAGCTGTGCCTTCTCCTTCCTGCCAGGTCGACACTCCCCCTGAAGCAAGAAGAGTATGAGGTGAGTGCAGGGGCGCGGCCGGAGGTCGGGGGTCCCGGGCAGGGGGCACTGAGCGGGAGCCCCTGAGCTCCTGTGCCCGTCCCGGCCAGGCCTTTCTGCTCAAGCTGGTCCAGAACCTGTTCGCCGAGGGCAATGACCTGTTCCGGGAGGAGGACCACAAGCAGGCGCTGGTGCAGTACATGGAGGGGCTGAACGTGGCCGACTACGCCGCCTCCGACCAGGTGGCCCTGCCCCGCGAGCTGCTGTGCAAGCTGCATGTCAACAGGGCGGCCTGCTACTTCAGCATGGTGAGCCCCCGCGACCCCTGGCCCGCCCCGACCCCTGCAGTCTCCGACCTCGACTCTGCAATCCCTGAACCTGACGACCCCTGACCCCCAACCCCGGCAGCCCTGGCCCTGACAACCCCGACCCCTGACTCCTGACCCCACGGCCCCCCAATCCTGGCCCCCTAAACCCACACCCCCGCGACCCCTGACCTAACCTCTGACCTCACGACCGGTGACCCGCAACCCCCTGACTCCCGACTCCCAAGACCTCGAGACCCCCCCGAGACCCCCCGAGACCCCAGTGACCCGACACCCCTGCTACTTCAGCATGGTGAGCCCCCGCGACCCCTACCCGCCCCGACCCCTGCAGTTTCCGACTCGACTCTGCAATCCCCGAACCTGACGACCCCTGACCCCCAACCCCAGAAGCCCTGACCCTGACAACCCCGACTCCTGACTCCTGACCCCACGACCCCCCAACCCTGACACCCTAAACCCACAACCCCCGCGACCCCTGACCCAACCTCCGACTTCGCGACCCGTGACCCACAACCCCCTGACTCCCGACTCCCAAGACCTCGAGACCCCCCGAGACCCCCCGAGACCCCAGTGACCCGACACCCCTGCTACTTCAGCATGGTGAGTGCCTGACCCCGTGACCCCCGAGACCCCCGTGACCCCACACCCCTGTGACTTCAGCTTGGTGACACGCAGCTTCCCCCATGATCCTGCTCTCCTGCTAGTTCACCATGGCGAGCCCCCCGCAGGGTCCCCCTGTGCCCACCCACAGCAGCCTCCACGACCCCACACTTCCCCGTGGCCCCCTCCATGCCCCTGTGCCCAGCCTGATGCAGAAACGCCCCCCACGCACACACGCACACACGCACACACGCACACACGCATCTGTCTCCTCTCTTCCCAACTCTCGGCTCCAGCTGTGCACAGCACCCCCAGCCTGGAGCACCTTGGCTATCTCTTCATTGGAAGGCGTTTTGTTGCTGGTTTGGTTTTCAGGCCCCCACTGGGCGGTGCTCAGGGGCCATTCCTGGTGGGTCAGGGGACCGTACGGGGTGCCAGGGATCAAACCTGGGCAGCTGCGTGAGAGGCAAACGCCCTGCCTGCCGGCTGCATCTCTGGTCCCTGCCTCCTGTCTAATTTCCTCTCGGAACCCCCAGCTCCTCAGTGCTCTGGGCCAAAGGCAGGTGGGGAGGTCGGCGTGTGCGTGCCCAGGGGATGCTGAGGGTCCGTGTCCTGCCGGGCCAGGTGGTGGTGGCCGCCCCTCCGGCTGGGACCCTCGAGGCTGCCCCGGGCTCTGCTCTGTCTGTGCTCACCTGGGCCCCCCGCCCCTCTCCGGTCCAGGGCCTGTACGAGAAGGCGCTGGAGGACAGCGAGAAGGCGCTGGGGCTGGACGGCGAGAACATCCGCGCGCTGTTCCGCAAGGCGCGCGCCCTCACGGAGCTGGGCCGCCACAAGGAGGCCTACGAGTGCAGCAGCCGCTGCTCGCTCGCCCTGCCCCACGTGAGTGCCGCCCGCCTCAGTCTCCCCTCTCGTCCCGCACACTCGCACTGGGCTCCGTGTGAGCTCGCCTAGGCCGCCAGGGGCGGCAGAGCCAAGGCGGGGCCCCCCAGACTCCATGCTCCCTCTGGACCCTTCAGGAGGGGACACGGTGCAGGGGGGAGGGGGGTCAGGGGGGCTCCGACGGGCGCCCCAGTGTGCCGGGCCCCTGACGTCTGGGCTGCCAGAGAGGATAAGTAACTCTGCCCCCTCCTGGCACGTGGCTGCCCCCTCAACCCATCCATGCACTTATGCCTTTACCAAGCACCCGCAGTATCCAGACTGGTGCCCTTCAGGGGCTGTCGTCCACAGGAGGCAAACAGCACCAGGGTTTGGACTACTCCACCGCTGACCCTGGCGCTTCCTCTGCATGGTGTCGCCAAGCCCAGATGGTCTCTTTCCCCCTCTGGCCCCGGAGTAGCAGGGGTGAAAGGGCTCAGAGAAGTCAGCTGCCCCCGAGATGCAGAGAGCACAGGGGGCTCCCTGGAGGAGGTGTGGCTTGGGCGGGGCGAGGAGAGCCTAAGGTTTGGGCTAGCAGAGTGAAGAAGCAGGAGCTGGGCTGGGGAGGAATCGGTCAACTAGGCCGTGGGCACGTTCCTGAGCGGGGTCAGGAAATGCTCATGGCTCCATTGGTGTCACTCTTCTCATTCACCCTCCTCGTTCCGCCTAGTCCACTGTTGAGACTCGGTCCCTGGTGGACCCCACGCGTGCCCGCCTTCACAGCGGCTCCACAGCTGGGTCTCCCCCCTCAAAGTGGGGAGCAGGGGGGCCGGAGCGATAGTCCAGCCAGTAGGGCGTTTGCCTTGCACGCGGCTGACCCGGGTTCAATCCCTGGCATCCCACACGGTCCCCCGAGCACTGCCAGGAGTGATTCCTGAGTGCAGAGTTGTGAATCATCTCTGAGCATTTCCAGGTGTAACCCAAAAAGAAATAAAAGTGGGGAGCAGGGCTGGTTGCCCAACCCAGCCAGGAGCCCGGGCAGGAGCTTGGACTCTAGGTTGAAGAGCCCCTGGTTCTCGGGGATCACAGGCACAGACCCCTGAGTCTGCTGCTTTTGGGACTCCCGAATGATTCCCACTCGGCCTGGGCTGCAGGAGCTCGTTGGGGAGGTGACTTTGAGCCCTGTGGCCCCTCGGTGGCTCGGCCCCCAGCCCCTTCCTTTTCTGTTCCTCCTTGGGTGATCTCCCACTCTAGACCAGACCCCCTTGAGGCCAGTGATGTTCCTGGCCCCTTGCTTGCACACTCTGCGGCCACAGGGGCTTGGAGGGAGGCGGGTGCTGGTGCTGGGACTAGGTGGGTGCTAGGTCAGTGGTTACCAACTAGGTCCATTAGCTGCTACTGTACCACAGGGATAGAAAGTTTGAAAACCACTATTGCAGCCTGCCTGGGCCTCAACCGCTCGGGCCCCCAGCAGCCCTCTGTGGGGTCCACGTCCAGGGCTGGCAGAGTTCCAAGATGTTTGGTGAAGGAGACATGATAAAACAGTCACTATAACTTGATCCCACTTAAATACAGAGAAGGAGAGTGGTAGTACAGAGGGAAGGGCACTTGCCTGGCACCCGGCCATCCTGGATTCAATCCCCCTCATCCCATATGGTCCCCCGAGCCCACCAGGAGTGATCCCTGAGCTCAGAGCCAGGAGTAAGGCCCTGAGCATCGCTGGATGTAACCCCCAAACAAAACAAACAGGACTGATTGAAACCATAGCCAGAGGGGCCTGTGATAGGCTGAAGAGTGTGTTTTGCAGGTGGGGCCCAAGCTTGGCTCTCCAGCCCCAGGGCCTGGAGCGATCCCTCAGCCACGCTGCAAGCACCCCCTTGGCATGGTCCAGCGTGGCCCAGAAACAAGCAAACAAGAATCCGAGTCGCCTAGGATCCCTTGCCCCTTCCTAAACTCAAAGGGAAACCTGGCTTCCATTCAGCCAGCTGTGCCCAGCGGGTCGCCAGTGTCCCCTCCAGGGCCCCTGGGGCAACAGCGAGGGAGAAGGGGCTGGGCTGGTCCCCCCTGCCCCCCAGGGGGTGTCTGGGGTGCTGCTCTGAGCCCAGCAGGCCAACGTGGCTGGCGGTTTCCTTCCCAGGATGAGAGCGTGACGCAGCTCGGACAGGAACTGGCCCAGAAGCTGGGGCTGCGAGTCAGGAAAGCTTATAAGAGACCCCAGGTAGGCGGATCTAGAGACGGGAGCACGCCTGCAGGGAGGACCAGAAGCTTGGGTGGGGGAAGTGGGCCGTGTCAGGACAGAGGGGAGAGACTGCCGCTGACTGAGCTCTGGAACCGTCCTGGAAGGGGCAGCCCAGACCCATCACTGTCTGCTGACCTGTGGGCACTGCACCTGCAGGCAGCCGGGAGGGTGCAGGCTTGGCGTGTGGCATCAGGGGGTGTCTCTGGGCCCTTCTACCCCCCGGGTCTCTGCAGGGCGAGACAAGAGTCTCTGCTGGGTTCCAGCAGGCAAGAAAACGGGCAGATCTGATCCAGAGACACGGGGTGGAAAACAGAGGGTTCCATGGACCCCACTGCCGGGCTGGGTCCTTCTGCTGCCCTGAGCACCTTTCAGCACCTCACCTCCCCCCTTCCCATCTCTGACAGGAACTGGAAAACTTTTCTCCGCTCAGCAATGGTGCCGCGGCTGGTGTGACCCACCAGGTAGGAGCCGGTCTCCCACTCTGCCCCCCCAGCCCCCACTTATCTGGCTTCATCAGGGGGGCTGGGGATTCACACATAGGGGCCCCCAAGCAATGCCAGGGGTTACTCGAGTACAGAACCAAGAGCAGCCCCTGAACCAACACCGTTGTGTGTGGCCCAAGAAAACAAACCAAGGCGGGAAGAAAGTCACAGAGTCTTGGAGAGAGCCAGCGGGGAGAGAGCCGAGGGGCTTAACGGGGTTGAGGGGCTTAACGGGGTGCAACTATTGGTTTTTGTTATTAGTTTTGGTTTTGATCATACCCAGTGGTGCTCACTCCTGGTGGAACTCCGGGGATTCGATGCCGTGCCAGGGATCGAACTGGGTCGGCTACGTACAAAGCAAGTGCCCTGATCCGTGAACTGTTTCTCTGGCCCACAGACGCCCTAACATCCCCCCCACACACACACACCCATACACACTGACACACTGTCTCTCCAGTCTGCGGGCGCCTGACCCCTCGCCCCCCCACAAACACACTCTCAGGCCCGCGGGTGCCCTGACCCCTGTGCCATCCCTCCAGTCCCTCCAGCCTGTTGCAGGGACAGCAGGTTTTGCTTTGAGCACTGGTTTGGGTTTTGTTTTGCTGAGGGTGGACATGCAAGGTTCGCCTTGAGCCCCTGAGCATAGTGTGGGGGGTGGGTCCAAGCTGTCCCCCACCAACATCATCAGGTGGGATCCCCAGTTCCCGGTTCCCTGAGCTCCTGCCTCCTTCTGGGAGCCTGAGAAATGGGGGCCCTTTCCTTTTCTGCGGAGAGTGTCCTAAGTGCGCCCTGAGAGCCTCAGTCAGCCTCAGCGGTCACTTAGGTGGGGGTGGCGGCCCCTGAGTGTGCCCAGTGACTCCTCAGCTATCAGCCTGACCCGCCGTCCTGTCTCCACAGGGAAGCCCCAACGGACTGGGGCCCATTGATGACATCGAAACAGGTACTGGCCCTGCTCCTTCTGGGGGCTCAGCCCCTCACCCCCAAGAGCCCTGGAAGGCGGGGCAGGTCAAGCCCCCTAGAAGGAGGAAAGGAAATAGGGGCAGGAGGATGTGGAGCAATGCTGGGTGTGTGGGGTATCCCCTTGGCCCTCTGGGGCGCCCCTCGGCCTCACCGAGAAGCAGGCTGTCCCCCAGGGAGCAGGACTCCGGGCACCTGGACCTCAGGGCCCGGGATGACGCCCCCATCCCCGCCAGAGCGCCCCCTGCGGCTCCTGAGTCCCTCCATCCTCCACAGACTGCTACGTGGACCTACGGGGCTCCCCCGCCCCACTCCCTGCCACCCCCACGCTGCCCCTGTTCCCTCACGTGCTGGACCTGCTGGGCCCCCTGGAGAGCGGTGGCCGGGCCCTCCCTGGTTCAGAGGGCCCCGACGATTTCTCTGACGGGGACTTGTTTGGGCCGGAGCTGGACACACTCCTGGACTCACTGGTGAGCGCCACCCGCCCCGCCCCTGCCTGGTCCCTCCCTGGGCCCTGTCCCCACCCCGCCCCTGCAGGTGCCTTGCGCCTCCCGAGTCCCCTCCCCTTCTCTTGGACACGCCCCTTCCTGCGGCCACGCCCACACCCTACAGGTGCCCCACCTTCTGAGGCTCCCCCCCCACTTATGTCCTGTAGACCCCGCTCCCCTGGAGCTCCTTGGAGACCCCCACTTTTTTTATGTCCTATGAGGACTGGTGGGAAGGTCCCAACCGTGGGACCCAGTCCGGGAATCAGACTTCCAAAGGGAAAGGGACGCTCTTGGGACGCAAGCTGCAGAAAATTCCGGCAAAGGGCAATGAGAGCCCAGGGGGGATAAAGACCCTGTAGGGGGCTGGAGACACCCTAAGGCAGGGAGGGCGTTTACCTTGCACGCAGCTGACCCAGGTTTGATCCCCAGCACCCCATGTGATCAACCCACCGGCAGTGACCCCTGAGCTCAGAGCCAGGAGTAATTCCTGAGCATCGCCAGCTATGCCCCAACCGACCCCCCAAAAAACCCAAAAACTGAGTGGGGCGTGATTGGGCAGAGTGGAGACTGGTGGCCTGGGCTCCTCAGGGCCCATCTCCTCTGACCACATGCCCCTCTGTCCACCCTGCAGTCCCTGGTGCAGGGCAACCTGCCTGGCAGCGGGGTGCCCAGCGAGCTGCCCCAGCTGATACCTGTGTTCCCCGGGGGGACCCCGCTGCTGCCTCCCGTGGTGGGCGGCTCTATCCCGGTCTCCAGCCCCCTGCCCCCTGCCTCCTTCGGCCTGGTCATGGACCCCTCCAAGAAGCTGGCTGCCTCTGTGCTGGACGCCCTGGACCCCCCTGGATCGGCCCTGGACCCCCTGGACCTGCTGCCTTTCTCGGAGCCCCGGCTAGACGCCCTCAGCAGCTTGGGCTCCCCCCGCGGCTCCCTGGACAAGCCCGACTCCTTCCCCGGTGAGGCCCCCTGCTTGGGTCGCCCCTCCCACATCTGCCCATCTCCCTTGGTGGTCTGAGGCCTCCTGGTCTGAGTCACTGTGTGCCCAGGACCTCGGAGGGGCAAAATGCAGAGCTGGGATTAGCACTCAGAGTCCCTGCCTGGTGTTCTCTCCTGGCCTCCAGGGGTCCTGGGCTCACGGCGAGTGGCCTTCCTGGAGGGGCTGGGGTTGGGCTTGCAGGCCCGGCCAAGGGCTCCTTCCACTCTGCTCTGGGCTGGGCTGGGCTGTAGGGTCCCACAGAGGACAGGCAGCCAAGAGAGACTCCCTGGAGGAGGTGGTGGCTGACTGGGTCTATTTTTTTTTTTTTGTGGGGGGAGAGGCGCTTAGGGGCCACTCCTGGTGATAGTCGGTCAATGAGGACAGGTCCAGGTCTGCGCCCCTGTCCCTGAGCTGTCGCCGGTGTCTGCAGATGAGCAGAGCAGTTGGGAGGGGCTGTGGCTGCTCTCAGCACCTGGGGCCAAGCAGGACCGCAGCCTTGCGGGATGCTGGGAGGCAGTAGGAGCCCAGCTCAGGCTGGGACACCTCTGTCCAGGGCAGAGAGGAGGACACTGTACCGGAAGGGCTGGTGCATGTCGGCGAGCTGAGTGACCTGGGCACACTGCCCTGGGAGGGTCCCTTTAGCGCATGGCAGGTGACCCCGTGTCTTTTCGTCCAGAGGAAACCAACTCCCAGGACCATCGGCCCCCGAGCGGTACTCAGAAACCTGCGCCCTCGGTGAGTGACAGGCCACTGCTGCAGGTTCTGGCGGCTGGGGCTGTAGGCAACACAGGCTGGAGGCGTGGTGGGGGGCCCGTGTGGTTGCCTGTGTGTTGGGCTTCCACTCTAGGAAAGGTCTTGGCCAAGGTCAGTCACCCATGCACATCCCCCAGGTCCCCGTCCGATGTTCTATGTCCCTAGATCAGGGCACAGGAAGTTCCCCAGATGGGAGGGCAGAGAACAACAGAAGCTTCTGGACCTCAGGTGTGCTTTGGGTCAGGACCGGGGTGTCTCCGGGCTTAGTGCCCCAGTGGCTCAGCTGTCCCCACCCCCACATGCCCACCTCTGCCTGTCTCAGCCGGAACCCTCCATGCCCAACACGGCTCTGCTCATCAAGAACCCCTTGGCTGCCACCCATGAGTTCAAGCAGGCCTGCCAGCTCTGCTACCCCAAAACAGGTAAGGGCACCCCTCTCTGGCTGGCTCTGAGAAGGAAAAGGTCTTCCGTGCCATGGGGGATGGGCTGGACCCTGAGTTCTTCCTTTTCTTGCCAGCAGGGAGGGCTGGGAGGCCAGAGTCAGGCCTTCGGGGCTGCCGGAAGGGAGGCAGACCGGGAGATGAGCAGGAGTTGGTACTTCCTGGCTTCACTGGGGACTCTGGAGCTGACCCAGAACCAGGGGCAGAGGATTCTGGGAAATGTCGTTCTTGGGCTGCTAACACTGCAAATCCCAGGAGGTCGGGAAAGCGGTTGGGCATAGGAACCAGTGTCCAGAGACAGTGCTCAGCACGCCGGGATCCTTGCTAGACTCTAGATCTTTCCACCACCAGAGGTCACAGCTTGGAGTTTCCAAACAGGACTCGGGATAAGGGGTGGTCCCTGGATTTCAGGCTCAACCACCGCAGCCCTTTCTCTGCCCGTGGGAGCACTACCAGGAGTGGGCCCTGCTGTCCAGGCCCGTGCTGGGCGGTGTCCCCCAAAGCCTTCCGGGGAGTGTGGGGGTGGTGTCGGCGGGGGGGGACTGTGTGGAGATGCTTCCCTGCGTGGCCCTCATGCTGCCCAGAGCTCCTGGCACTGCCCATGGGGTGACACAGGGGCCTTCTAAAGACTGTCCTCCTGTCCTCTTTGAGGGGCTGTCCCTGCCTGGGGCAGCGATTCTGAGAGGACCAGGAAAGAGAAAGAGAGGCAGGGCCCGGTGCCCATCTGTGGCCACTGGGGCCTGTTGTCCTCCGGGCGCGCCCAGAAAGGGTCACAGGGAGGTGGGGGCCACATCTCTGGGGAGTAGGTCCCCACCCTGTGCACGTTCCAGTTCTGCTTCCCGGTCACCTCCTGCCCCTTCCCCCAGGCCCCAGGGCGGGCGACTACACGTACCGTGAGGGCCTGGAGCATAAGTGTAAGCGGGACACCCTGCTGGGCCGGCTGCGCGCCGCCGATGACCAGACGTGGAAGCGCATCCGGCCCCGACCCACCAAGACCAGCTTCGTGGGCTCCTACTACCTGTGCAAAGGTGGGTGCGGCCCGGACCCTGCTCCTGAGGTGGCCCCGAGCGGAGCCGCGCGGGGGTTCCGGGGGCCCCCTCCAGGAGGCCCTGCCCAGGCTGGCTCCACGGTCCGTGGGTCATTCGTGTTGCCTTTGGCCTTCGACCCCTGACACAGGCCTGTGTCCTGGTGCTGGAGGGGGGTTTCCAACTGGCACTACAGGGTCCCTGAGTTTGTGCGGGGGGACATGGGGAGACCCCACGAAGGCAGTTAGAGCAGCACCAATGAGGACCCGCTTCACACTGACCTGTAACTCCCGTCATCCCAGGGCGTGAGGAGGGCATTGGGGCTGTGCCTCTTTTGCTTTGGGGCCACAGCATTGGTGCTCAGGGGCTCCTCCTGTCCCTGCCTGGAGGTTGCTTCCCCTGGTGTTCAAGGGACAAGGCAGTACCGGGGATTGAGTCTGGGTTCCCCCCACCCACCCCCCGATGAGGCACTTGCTCAGCCCATTGAGTGATCTCTCGGGATGACCCTCTGGCTTTTGGGGTGTTTTCTGGCAGTGCTTCAGATGCGACCTAGGGCCTCAAGTGCACATGGATGGCACCGCTCAGCCTCTGTGTCACCTGCTGCCCCCCCTTTTTTTTTCCTTTTTGGGTCATACCCGGCGATGCACAGTGGTTGCTCCTGGCTCATGCATTCAGGAATTACTCCTGGCGGTGCTCGGGGGACCATATGGGATGCTGGGAATCGAATCTGGGTCGGCCTCGTGCAAAGCAAACACCCTACCGCTGTGCTATCGCTCCAGCCCCCGGACCCCATTTTTGCTGAGGTATTGAGGTGTTGCCTTCCTGCCAGGTGGTGCTTATGTTTTCGGGCTCACCCAGCACTGCTCAGAGGCTGTTCATGCTCTGTGCTCAGGAGTGGAGTCATTCCCATTGGTGCTCAGGGAACCCCACGGTGTCAGAAATCTAGCCTGGACCTCCTGTGAGCAATGCCTGTACTCAGCTCAGCCTTTTCTTTTTATTTCTTTAATTTAAAAAAAATTATTTTTTTAATGAATCACTGTGAGATAGAGCATTACGAAGCTATTCATGATTGGGTTCAGTCATATGGTGTTCCAACACCCATCCCTCCACCAGTGTAATTTCCCAGCACCAATGTCCCTAATTTCCCTCCTACCCACCCCCATTTTTTTTGTTTTTTTGGGGTGTCTGGTCACATCCAGCAGCGTACAGGAATAACTCCTAACTATTTTCAGGCTTCACTCTTGGTGGGGCTTGGGGACCCTGTGAGGCGCCAGGGGTTGAACTTGGGTCGGTTGGCCATGTGCAAGGCAAGTGCCCTCCCCGCTGGACTCCAGCTCCTGTGCTCAGCCTTCTGGGCATCTCTGCGGCCTGGGCAGTTGAACCCAGCCTTCAGGTTTTCACAGCAAGTCTGCTGAGGACAGTGAGGCTCTGGGAGGTGGCCCAGGCCCCGCCTTTGTCCCCTGGTGGCAGTGTCTCTCCGCAGCCTTTACGGACCAGAAGCTTGTAGTGCCTGAAGTCCTCAGCGCCCCGCCAGCCCCCACCTTTCCCCCCAATATTCACCAGCTCTGAACCCGCTCAGGCTGGCCCGGTCTTGGGAAATCTCTCCTCGGGACTCCCCCAGTCCGGTCAGCCCCCGGGATGTGGGCCTGGTTGGGGGGATGGATCGGGCCAACTTAGAACAGGGCTGTGGGGAGAGGAAGCAGATCCTCTCCTGGGGTGCAGAGTGAGGCATTTGTCACCCCACTTGGTCCCCACGATGGCCCGGCCCGGCCACCAACTCGGCCATCTAGGCTCGAACCCTGAGCCCAGCCTTGTCGCTGCTGCGTGTTCGCAAACCCTCCCGCACGCGGGAGGTATCCCCAGGGGTTATGGGACTTGGGAATGCCAAGATTTGCAGATGAAGAGCTGGGATCCCCCACAGAGCCCCCTCCCCAACCGTCAGAGCAGAGCAAAGATGGGGTCCGGCCTGGGGTGAGCAGTTTTCCAATTCTGCCGCTCATGGGCCGGACAGAGAGTACAGTGGGTAAGGCTGGCACGCGGCCAGCACGGGTTCAATCTCTGTACCCCACATGTCCCATGAGCCCACCAGGACTGGTTCCTGAGCACAGGGCCAGGAGTAAACCCTGAGCACTGCTGGATGTGACCCCCAAAACAAAATCAAAAACCAATTCTGTTGTTCAGCCCCGGGCAGGTTCTGAAGGTCTGTGGACCACCCACCCGCACCCCTGGAGGGAGCTAGGCTGAGCAGGGCAGGGGGCGGTGGGGCAGTGGGGAACAGGGGGTAGGGGGCAGGGGGCAGTGGGCAGCAGTGGGCAGCATAGCAGTGGGAAGTGGGGCAGAGGGCAGTGGGGGACAGCAGGCAGTGAAGCAGTGGACAGTGAACAGCAGGGCAGGGGACAGTGGGCAGCGGGGAAGGGGGCAGCAGGCAGTTGGGCAGGGGACAGTGGGCAGGGGGCAGGGACAGTGGCTAGCAGGGCAGGGGGCAGCGGGACAGGGGACAGTGGGCAGCGGGGCAGTAGGCAGTGGAGCAGGGGCAGGGGACAGTGGGAAGCGGGCAGCGGGCAGTGGGCAGCGGGGCCGGGCTGGGCTGCCCTCCCGCCTGGCGGAACGTCGCTGTTGCCTCTTTGCAGACATGATTAACAAGCAGGACTGTAAGTACGGGGATAACTGCACCTTCGCCTACCATCAGGAGGAGATCGACGTGTGGACGGAGGAGCGCAAGGGCACCCTCAACCGCGACCTGCTCTTCGACCCGCTGGGGGGCGTCCAGCGCGGCAGCCTCACCATCGCCAAGCTCCTCAAGGAGCACCAGGGCATCTTCACCTTCCTCTGCGAGGTACCTGCCGCCCGCTGGGAAGAGTCAGGTCCGGTGGGGGGTGGGGAGGCAGGGGTCCTGTTCCCCTGCAGCCAACGCCGCCCCGGGCAGTGGGCAGGGGGCAGGGGGCACCCCTGGCCCCAGGGAATAAGCAACGCCCTCTCTTCCCACAATGTCCCGGGTGCCCTCCCCAACGGCTGGGCTGGCTTCCAGGCCCTGCTCGCTCTCCCCCTGTCCCCCGAGGCCCTCTGAGCTGTGGCCCTTCCGTCTGGGGCTCCCCTCGTCCTCCCACGCCCCCAGCCACACACAGCCTCTTGAGGGCCCGTTCTGGAGCCAGGCTTCCGGCAGCTGAGCACCCCAGCTGTCCCACCATGAGTTTGTCTTACTCAGACCCCCCTCCGGGGGCAGCGGCCAGGGAGGCGGGGTGCACTTAGGCCTTGCGTGACTTTCTCGGGGAACCCCGAGGACACAGCAAATGTGGTTACCTCTTGGTTTACGGTTGGGGAGACTGAGGCACAGAGTATGCCGGGGTGACAGGGAGGGAGGTGGGAGAGGGAGAGCGGGAACTCGAGTAAGGGTGGGGGGTCAATGTGAGCCCCCCAGACCCTGCACGGGGTCCCGGCCCATACACCCCCCCCTCCCCGCCCACCCCGTCCCGGGCAGATCTGCTTTGACAGCAAACCTCGGATCATCAGCAAAGGCACCAAGGATTCTCCGTCCGTGTGCTCCAACCTGGCCGCCAAGCACAGCTTCTACAGCAACAAGTGAGGGCGCAGCTAAGGATTGGGGCGGACCCTCCCCTGGGCCCCACTGCGAGCCCCCCTCCGTGGGTATTCGGCTGCCCCTCGCGTTGGCAGGTCACAGAGGGGCTGGCGTTGTCCTTGACAGTGCTCTGACCAGCTGGTGCTCCCAGCTCCCTTTCTGCGGGACAGTGCCTCTCGGGCCACCCCTCCATCTCCATTTCCGCCTCAGTCCCTTGGGGGTACCTTGAGATTTCAGGCCGCAGAGGGCATTCTTTGGGTTCCTCCAGCTCCAGAGTAGAGAGCAGTGACCCCCTGCCTCTCGGGGGGCAGCCGCAGCTGGCTTCAAACCCAGGCTGCAGGGCTGGACCGGTACGGGAGGGCGTTTGCCTTGCACATGACCGACCCGGGTTCAATTCCCAGCATCCCATAGGGTCCCCTGAGCACCGCCAGGGATAATTCCTGAGTGCAGAGCCAGGAGGAGCCCCTGTGCATTGCCAATTGTGACCCCCAAAAAAACCCAGGCTGCCCGAGTGGGGGATCCCCCCACATCTGTGATCGAGTTCATGGGGTGGGAGGGCTGGAGAGAGCCCGGCAGTTAGGGCACTTGCCTTGCACCCCAGGGAGCCCCTGGCACCACAAGCGCTTCCCTGAGCATCCCTGGGTACCACCAGATGTGGCCCCCCAAAATAGGGCGGGAGCGACCATGGAGAAGCCCTCCTCTTGGGCTGACCGCCCCCCTCCCCGGCAACGTGCCCCCCGCCCCCGCAGGTGCCTGGTGCACATCGTCCGCTCCACCTCCCTCAAGTACTCCAAGATCCGCCAGTTCCAGGAGCACTTCCAGTTCGACGTGTGCCGCCACGAGGTGCGCTACGGCTGCCTGCGGGAGGACAGCTGCCACTTCGCCCACAGCTTCATCGAGCTCAAAGTCTGGCTGCTCCAGCAGTACTCAGGTGCGCCCCCACAGCGGGACGCCCGGACCCCCGTCCCTCCCGCCCGGGAAGCCCTGTCCCGCCCAGGGACCCGCCCGGAATCCCGCTCCGTGCCTTCAGGGCTGGTCACCCGCAGGCGGGTCCTGGGTACACACACTGTCCCCCTCGGCGCGTCCTAGTTTCTTGGAGGGTGACCGGGGGAATCCAACCATCAGTGTCTTCTAAGACAAAAAGGGGCGTTGCGGGGCTGGAGATAGCACAGCGGGGAGGGCGTTTGCCTTGCACGCGGCCGACCCGGGTTCAGTTCCCAGCATCCCATAGGGTCCCCTGAGCACCGCCAGGAGTAACTCCTGAGTGCAAAGCCACCCCTATGCATCGCCAGGTGTGACTCAAAAAGAAAAAAACAAAAACAAAAAACAAAGACACAAAACATTTAAATAGGGGCCGGAGCCCTAGTCCAGCAGGGAGGGCGTTTGCCTTGCACCCGGCCGACCCAGGTTCGGTACCCGGTTTCCCATAGGGTCCCCTGAGCACCGCCAGGAGTAACCCCTGAGCATCGCCGGGTGTGACCCAAAAAAAAGCAAAAAAAAAAAGGGGGCAATGCGACCGCTGAAGTGCCTCGTACTGTGAGGACAGCAGAGCAGGACCGGAAGGGACCTAATTGGGGCATCCCGGAGAGGTGACACATGGAGCAGGCAAAGGAGCAGCAGGGCTGGAAGCCGTGGGGCAGGAGTGTCAGCGGGGACCCGGGAGCTCAGTGGCGGGGCCAGGGGACAGGCGTGCTGTGCTGGGATCCACCCCACGGCCCCAACCCACCGGCCAGGGCCCCACACCTGAGCCGCGTCCTGGCCCCTGGTGGTTTGGAAAGTCGCGCTGGCTGCCAGAGGTGGGAGTGGCAGATGGCTATGGGTCACGGGTAGAGGGGACAGGGGCATCAGGTGGACCAGTCTGAGATGAGGGTCAGGGTCCGGGCTGACGGCTGGGCGTCTGGACGCGTGGGTTTGTTGCTGTATCCTGAGGAGGTGAAGGTCATAGGACCATAGGAAGAGGGGCCTGGGGGAGGTGGGACCCCCCATCAGAGCTGCCGGCCAGGCTGTGGTGAGGTGCTGAGCAGATAGCCAGGGAGCAGGCAGGAGAGATCCAGGCTGGAGACCCCCATGTGGGATCCAGGATGGGGAGAGGGTTCCGGCGTAGTGCAGACAGGAGAAAGCCCCCCAGGGACAGTTGCTGGGGAGCAGGGGTCAGAGACCAGGGCTGGAAGCAGAACAGGAAGAGGCGCTGGGGGGAGGGTGGGCTTCTCTCCTTGGAGACAGTCAGGGTGGGAAGTGCTCTGGGTAAGAGACATGCCGTTTGGAAAGTCCCGCTGGCTGCCAGAGGTGGGAGTGGCATATGGCTCTGGGTCACAGGTAGAGGGGACAGGGCCATCAGGTGGACCAGTCTGAGATGAGGGTCAGGGTCCAGGCTGACGGCTGGGCGTCTGGACGCGTGGGGTTGTTGCTGTATCCTGAGGAGGTGAAGGTCAAGCGTGCAGATGTGAGGCCAGAAGGAACTCTGCTGGGGTGGCAGAGCTGTGGCCCCTGGGGTTAGGCCGGGCAGGTAGAGCAGATGAGCAGTTTCTGCTAGGCACAGCAGGGCCAGGCCGGAGGCCCCTGGAGACACTTCCTTAACCCCGCAGGTGGGAGAGCCAGGAGCCGTGCCCTGGCCAGGGGTCCCTGTGCCCTCCACAACTTCCTTGGCCCTCAAGCCAGTAAATAAGCCCCTCAGAGGACAGGGCTTCCCCCATCCCTGCAGAGCCTGGTGGGAACGGGACTCCCCAGCCTGGGCCTGCAGGGGAAGGGAAGAGGGGGGCGCGGATGCCTCCAGGCCTCAGCCTTGCTCCTTTCGGTGACATCCGCCTGTGTCTGCCCCCTGCTCAGGCATGACCCACGAGGACATCGTTCAGGAATCCAAGAAGTACTGGCAACAGATGGAGGCCCACGCGGGGAAGGGCAGCAGCGGCGTGGTAAGCCCAGGGCGCCGGGACCCCCGCCAGGGCCACCCCATCCCTTTCCCTGGCCGTGATCCTTGTAAGTATTAGGACAGTGTCAGAAGCGTGCAGATGTGAGGCCAGAAGGAGCTCAAGGGGGCCTCGAGCCAGACCCCCACATCGCATGGGCCCCTGAGCACCGCCAGCCATGCCCGTGGTGGCCTCCGAGCACTGTGGGGTGACGGCTGTACGAAAAGGCTGATGGGAGGGGCTAGAGCCATAGTGCAGTGGGGGGTGGGGGTGGCACTTGCCTTGCCGCCAACCTGGGTTGTTTGGTTGGTTGGTTTTACTTGGGAGCCACACCCAGGGATGCTCAGCGATTGCTCCTGGCTCTGCACTCAGAATTACTCCTCAGGTGCTCGGGGGGACCATATGGGATGCTGGGAATTGAACCCGGGCTGGCCGCATGCAAGACAAGTGTCTGATCCGCCGTACTGTGGCTCCAGCCCCCCAACCTGGGTTTGATCCCTGGCACCACAGAGTTCCCTGGGCACTGCCAGGAGTGAGCCCTAACCACAGATGGGTGTGGCCCAAACACAAAACCCCAAAAACCAAAATCTCCATCATCTCTGTTCCCAGGGAACTTGCTCCCCACCCCCAGTTCTCAGCTGCTGGGCTGCGGCCAGTGTTCACCACCGATGTGAAAAGGTTGAAAAATCACTAATCGGGGGGGCCAGAGAGATAGTACAGTGGGTAGGGCAGCTGACCTGGGTTTGACGCTGGGCATCTGATATGATACACGTAGTCCCACTCTGATCGCCCACGGAGCAATCCCTGAGCACCACTGGGACGGCCCAAAGTCAAAAACAACAAAAGGGAAAAATAATAACCCCACTGATCAACTATTCTGTTCACTGTTAATCAAGTAACCATACAAACAAGTGGAATATACCCCGCCCCCCCCCCCCCACCGTACGTGGTGCTGGATATTCCAGGGATTCAAACTTGAGCGCCAGGTTCTCTGTCTCGGAACGATATCCTGCTCACCCCCCAAATTTTATTTGAATAATTCTGCCAGGAATAGCTTAGAACACGTGGTTTCTTCTTTTAAATTTTTTTTTTAAGTTTTTGATGTGTGACAAAAATAAGTGCCAAAGTTATTCATTTTTTTTTCTTTTTGGGTCAGACCCGGCAATGCTCAGGGGTTACTCCTGGCTTTGCACTCAGGAATTACTCCTGGCAGTGCTCGGGGGACCATATGGGATGCTGAGAATCGAACCCCAGTCGGCTGCGTGCAAGGCAAAACGCCCTCCCCGCCGTGCTATCGCTCCAGCCCCAGTAGATCTATCTTTAACTCCAGGAAGCTCCACAGCGATTTCCAAAAAGCAGTTGGACCAATTGCCATTTCCCTCACGCATGGTGGGGGTGGGAGGGTGGCGCACGTGCCGACAGGGAGGGGCTGCGGTCGTATGCTGTGCCCGAATCAGTGCCAAGCGCTGTGCCACACAGGCCCCCAAAGAACACGCATGCGAGCTCAGCCCCGGCGCCTGTCACCTCCTCCTGCTTCCCCGCAGGGCACCCCGCGGACCCATGGGCCCAGCACCTTTGATCTGCAGATGAAGTTTGTGTGCGGCCAGTGCTGGCGGAACGGGCAGGTGGTGGAGCCCGACAAAGACCTCAAGTACTGCAGCGCCAAGGCCCGGCACTGGTGAGTTGGGTGCCAGGAGGGGCCCAGGCAGCCCCAGGGGCCAGGAAGCTGGGCTGTCCAGGGAGGGGCTGCCCTGACGCCCACCCTCACTCTGTCCTGCAGCTGGACCAAGGAGCGGCGGGTCCTGCTGGTGATGTCCAAGGCCAAGAGGAAGTGGGTGTCAGTGAGGCCACTGCCGTCCATCCGCAACTTTCCACAGCAATACGACGTGAGCCCCAGGGGGGCTGGGTGGGGGCACCTCTGGGGTGGGGCCCAGGGTGACCCAGGAGGGCAGCCTGCCTGCTGGGCCGTGGGACTCAGCGGGTGCCCTCGCCTGCCCGCAGCTCTGCATCCACGCGCAGAACGGCCGCAAGTGCCAATACGTGGGGAACTGCTCCTTCGCACACAGCCCGGAGGAGCGGGACATGTGGACGTTCATGAAGGAGAACAAGAGTGAGTGGGCAGGGCCTGGGTCCCTCCTCCATCCCCTGCCCAGGCTGTGCCCTCAGGGTCTTCTGTGGCGGCCAGGCCCTGATGCCCCGAGGCCCCCCCTCACCTCCCAAGAGAATGCGATGGGGGCAGATGGCTGGAGACGCCCCTCACCGTGTGGTCCCTTCCCTGCCAGTCCTGGACATGCAGCAGACCTACGACATGTGGCTGAAGAAACACAACCCCGGGAAGCCTGGGGAGGGGACCCCCATCAGCTCCCGGGAAGGGGAGAAGCAGATCCAGATGCCCACGGACTATGCTGACATCATGGTAAGGCCCCGCGAGAGCCAGACCCCGGTGCGGGGGCGGTGGGCAGGGCCGCGCCTCTCCGGGGTGGAGGGCGGGGAGGTCCCGCACTGCAGCGGGCACCCATGCCACCTGTGCCCCCAGATGGGCTACCACTGCTGGCTGTGCGGCAAGAACAGCAACAGCAAGAAGCAGTGGCAGCAGCACATCCAGTCGGAGAAGCACAAGGAGAAGGTGTTCACCTCGGACAGCGACACCAGCGGCTGGGCCTACCGCTTCCCCATGGGCGAGTTCCGCCTGTGCGACAGGTGTGGGGGCCACGCGGGCCACGCCCCTCCTGGCCTGGGTGGGAGGGACTCAGCCCCAGCGCCCCAACCCCAGCCTGGGTGGGCGGAGATACCTCGAGGCCACGCCCCTTCTATCTGCCCTTCCTCAGGCCCTAGGGCGGGGGCATACCTAGGCCACGCCCTTCAGGCCTGCAGTGGGTGGGGCCATTCTCCCTCCCCACCCCTCCTGGCCTGGGTGGGAGGGACTCAGCCCCAGCGCCCCAACCCCAGCCTGGGTGGGCGGGGATACCTCGAGGCCACGCCCCTTCTATCCTGCCCTTCCTCAGGCCCTATGGGCGGGGCATACCTAGGCCACGCCCTTCGGGCCTGCAGTGGGTGGGGCCATCCTCGTTCCCTGCCCCTCCAGGCTTGGGTGGGAGGGACTCAGCCCCAGAGCCCCAACCCCAGTCTGGGTGGGCGGGGATACCGTAAGGTCCCGCCCCCAGATCATGTGGGCACTTCCTACCAAAATCACGCCCCTCCAGGCTGTAGTGGATGGGGCCATTCTGCTCCCCACCCCTCCAGGCCTGGGTGGGAGGGACTCAGCCCCAGTGCCCAAACCCCAGCCTGAGTGGGCGGGGATACTTCAAGACCACGCCCCCTCCAGCCTGGCTGGGAGGGGCTCAACCCGGGCACCACCCCCAGGCCGTGTGGGCGGGGCATAACAAGGCCACGCCCATCAGGCCTGCAGTGGGTGGGGCCATCCTCACTGCCGCCCCTCCCTCCGGGCCTGGAGCTGGCCTGGGTGCTTGAAGGCTGGGACCCCTACTGGGTGACTGTGGCAAATCTTGCAGGAGGGCGAGGGTGCAGGGATGGGCCCAGGACCCAAGGGGCTGGAGCTGCCCCTGGGAGAGGTGCGGGTGGGGAGGGCACAGGCAATGAGCCCCCGGCTTCCCACCCGCAGGCTGCAGAAGGGCCGGGCCTGCCCAGACGGGGACAAGTGTCGCTGCGCCCACGGGCAGGAGGAGCTCAACGAGTGGCTGGACCGGCGCGAGGTGCTGAAGCAGAAGCTGGCCAAGGCCCGCAAGGACATGCTGCTGTGCCCGCGCGACGACGACTTCGGCAAATACAACTTCCTGCTGCAGGAGGACCACAGCCCTGTCGGCGCCAGCCTTGAGGCGCCCACGGCCGCCCCGGGCACCGGCTCCGGGGAGTAGGGCCAGGCCTCCACCACGGGTGACGACCTAGGGCCAGCGGGGGTGGGGGGGTGGGGGGGAGTGAGCCTGGGGGCTGCTCTCACCCCGCAGCCCCCCGGCTCCAGGGCTCCGTCCGCCCTCTTGACTGCCCAGCGTGCAGCCACGGGTGCCCCAACTCACCCCACTGCCACCCTGGGCCGCCCCTCCCGCCACCCACCCCCCAGCTCTCCCGGCTGGGGGAGGGCCGACCCCTCCAGCTCCAGCCTTCAGCTTTAAATTCTGTCTGCTCCTCAAGGGGGGCCCAACGCTCAGGGCTGGGGAGCCTGGGGCCCCCACTTGAATCTGCAGCAGAAGGGCCCTTCTCCCTGCCCCCACCCTGCCTCCCCGGGAGGCAGGTGGGGGCAGACAGAGGGCAGGAGGCCCCAATTAGCTTTAAAATGCAGTCCCGGGAGGGAGGAAGCTGGGGACACGTAACCTGTGGGGGGGCCTCAGTCTCCCTTCTGGTGGAAGGATGGGAGGGGCTGGGCTGGATGATGTTCGCGTTGCCCCTGCTAGACCCCGGGGTCCCCTCCCTTGTGAATGTAGACTGAATGTAGAGTAGCTCCTCAGAGCCTTCCCAGACCACCCAGCTCCACCCACCTCCCACTCTGCAGAAGGGGAAACTGAGCCCCGGGAAGGTGGGGGTGCAGCTCCCTGCACCAGGTAGCACCGGGCACGTCGATCAGGCAGAGGACTCAGGGCCAGGCCTCGGCTGGAGCCTTCGCGCTCAGCAGGGGCGAAAGACTGAAGTAGAGGGAGCGGGGGTCCGGTCCCAGACAGGCCTCTGCAGTAAGGTCAGCACCGGGGGTGTGAGGGGGGCCCTTCCCGCCGGAGTCACCCCTGCAAGGCGGTGAGGGGCAGGGCACCTTGGAGTTGGGGTTCTGCTTGAAGAGGGAGACCGGGAGAGGAGGTGATGGAGATGATGGGGAGGAGAGATTGAACCCCAGCCGGGCTCGGCTCTCCCCACCTTCCCGCCTAGGCCCAGAACAACTCAGACGCTGAGTCCCTCCAGACCCCAGGCCTCATTAGCTGTCTGGGACCCCAGCTGACCCCCATGACCCCCAGCCCTTGCCCCATCCCTCTCGTCTGCTGTGTCTGCGTGCACCCCCCTCCCCCTCCCACCCCCGAGGGCAGGCCCAGCCCCTCTGGTTCGCTAAGACATTCCAGAATGCCTCACAACATCGGCACAAGGCGTGGGGCCCCGCCCGGAAGGAACCGGGGAGCAAGGCTAGAGTCTGGGGGTGAGCTGGAAAGGAGGGCGGACCCCTTCCCTCCCTCCAGCAGGGATAGCTAGTGATGATGGTAAGATATGGGCACAGGGCCACAGAGAGCCCCCCCCATCTCTCGGGCCGCTGTCGTCCACCCTTTTCCCAATAATCGTGGCATGCATTCCTCCCCTCCCCCCTGCGGAGTTGGGGTGCCAGTGGCGTGGCTGGCGGGGAGGAGAGACCACGCCCAAGGTGGGGCCGTGGCCATGAACGTGGCTGACACTTGTCTCCCCCGATCCGTGGTGTTATGTCTCTCGTCACCAGCCTCGTTCCTAGTGTGTATATATGTCGCCCCGTGATGCATATATACACAGGTATTAAATATATCGCTCTATATAATATTATATATGTGTGTGGTATCCAAGCAATCACTTCTATTGAGGGCTAAATATAAAGAATTGGGCCGGAAGATGCAGCTATCCTTGTGTCATTAAGGAGGGATTCGTAGGGAGCCGTGAGTGGGAGGCAGTGGGGTGCAGCGTACGGCCGACCCCTCAGTGCGCCTGGCCGGGACCCGGCGGGCTTCCCAGGGCAGAAAGGTGGTGGGTGTTTGTCTCCCACCTGAGGGTCTCCTCAGCGTGTCCCCGTCCAGCAGCCCTTGGGCCCGGGCTCTGCTCTGTGACAGGCTCCCCCAGGTCGGGCAGCGGGTGTGGTCAGGAAATATTTCGAGAGCTGAGACTGGGACACTGAGTGGAACCAGGCAGTGCCCGCCCCCGGTTGAGGAAACAGGATGTTGGCCTGATGGGAGCGTGAGATTAGGGGGCACCGGTGATGCGAGTGTCCCTGGGGGGCTGGGGGGGAGAGGGAGGATGGCTGCATCTCTCCGCTGGGCAGTAATCAATTTCAAATGGTCCTTTTAAAATGTCTGTGGATTAAAAATTTACGAATACCACACTTTAATATTAAATATTCATAAGGTCTAGTATCTTGATAATAATGTAGATGTTTTAATAACAATTTTTGTCCTTCTTAAAATAAAATGAGAGAAACTTGCTTCCTTTAGCCTTTGTCCTCGAGAACGAACGCGTGCACTTTGCCCTCGGGCCGCCAGGTGTCGCTCCTGTGTCTCCCTGCCGGCGGGGCCGGGCAGGCAGAGCCGAGGCCCGTGTCACTGTGTAAACAGGGCAGCCAGCTGACCCCGGCTCTGACAGCACCTCGGCTGGCAGGGACAAGCTGTGCTCTGCTCGAGTGGCCCAGTGGCACCCTGTGCTGGCCGGTGGCCTGGAGCGGGGCCGGACAGCGGGGCCCAGAGTCCCCTGCTTTCGCTTCCAGGGCTGGCTGCGGGCCCGCTAGGGGTGTGGCTTTCCCAGCAAGGTGACAGGTAGTGCTTGCCCTGGGGTTAGGATCCCGAATGCAACCTGGCCCCCAGAGGCCCAGTCACCTGAGTCCAGGGCTCCTGCCCCTTCCCTGAGTTCGATCCCCAGCACCACAAAAAGAAAAGCCCTATGGGATTAGGAAAGTGTTGGCTGGGGCAATAGCATAGTGGGGAGGGTGTTTGCCGCGTACGTGGCCGACCCGGGTTCGATTCCCAGCATCCCATATTGTCCCCCAAGCACCGCCAGGAATAATTCCTGAGTGCAGAGCCAGGAGTAACCCCTGTGCATCTCCGGTGTGTTGGCTGAGAGCTCAGGCGGGGCCTTGTGTCTGCTGCCGGGAGGTTACCGGTGATGGCACATCCAGTGGAAGGGACTGCACGTGGCGAAGACAAAGCTCTCACTGGATGGCGTCAGACCACAGCGCGGGGCCGAGAGACCCCTCACAGGGCTGGAGCTGGCACTGCATGTGGCCCCCCTGTACCACACGGTCCCCCCACACCCCCAGAGTAGCCCCCTCAGAAAAAAAAATCTAAAACACAATAGGGCCATGGGGCCGGAGGGATAGTACAGCAGGGCACTTGCCTTGCAGGCAGCTGACCTGGGTTCAATCCCTGGTCTCCCATATGATGCCCGAGCACCACCAGGATGTGGCCATAAGCCAAGAAAAGACACAAACAACAAAATGGGGGCCACAAAAACAAAAGTCCCGGGACTGGGCCAGGTACACAGTAAGAAGTAATAATACTCGGCAGCGACACATACTAATTTATAGGCGATAAGTAACGGCAAGTAAGGAAGCAGAGAAGAGCCCTCTGCTCCGCACCACACCTGCTGTCCGCTTCTTAGCCCAGAGCGACTGAGTCAGGGTCCAGGGACTCTGTGAAAGGAGCAGAAGAAAGATCAGACACCCCGGGATCCGAGTGACGGGCAAACTCCTTCCAGCTCTGACCCCCCCCAAGCACCCCGGCTCCACAGGGGAACACCAACATGGTGTGGTAACAAGCGGAGCAGGAGAGCCCAGGCCTGTGCCCAAACGGGAGGAAGACATGCCAGGCCTTGCTCTGAAAGCCTCAGGTGGGCAAGATTAACTGCACCCAGCCCCCGGGACCGGTGTGCCTGAAGAAGCGTGACTTCCCTTGAATTCATTCAGCCAACCCACAGATCCCCACGGAAGACTGGAGGAGGATGTGCCAGGCACAATGGTAGGAGATGCTCCGGTGCCAGGGAAGGCGTCTCATCCAGACTGGGGAGCCACAGAGGGCTTCCTGGAGGAGGTGACTTGGAAGTCTGGCTTATTTTTTTTTTTTATCATTGCAATCCGGTTGTTTTTCCTTGGGGGTATTACACATATATCTCCATGCCCCAGGGTCATGGTCAGCAGTTGCCACTTTGTCCAGGGGCCAGAGCTGGCTCAAGCAGCATCCCTGGTTCTTGCACACAGACCCTCTCTGGCCATGGGGCTCTCCCTGCCTTCTCTGGGAACAGTTCCAGGTCAGGAGTAATGTCAGGGATGGGGGCAGCTCTGCCCTCCCCAGAGATGACCCTTGAGGAATCGGCCAGAGAATTTTTTCTGTGAGGGCCGCAACTCAGGTGCCCCCACCCCCAGCAGTGCTGGGGGGCCCTAGCTCTGTGATGTGGAGTTCTCCCAGAATCGACCGCATGTACCTACTCCTGAATTATCTCTCTGGCCCTTTTCATAATTTTTTTGTTTTGCTTTTTGTTTTGTTTTTGGCTCACACCTGGCAATGCTCAGGGGTTACTCTTGGCTCTGCACTCAGGAATCACTCCTGGCGGTGCTCAGGGAAGCACACTGACACCAGGGATCGAACCCTGGTCAGTCGCGTGCATGGCAAGCGCCCTACCTGTTTTACTATCGCTCTGGCCACTCCATTTTTTTTTAAGTGGGAATTAATTTTTAACTAACAGGAAAAATAAAAGCACAAATTTGAGACAGGTATTGGGGGGAAGAGAAGGGTAACTCAAGGACACGTGAGGGGGTTCTGGGGTAGGGGAGAGACAGGAGGGGTTCCGGGATGTGGTGGGGAGGTGGGGGCCAGGCCGCACGCAGCTGGGCTCGTTTCTGATGGGGCGTCCAGTGCAGTGCAGTGCAGTGCCAGGAGGGACGGCAGGGACCATGTGCCCGACCCAGCTATCATTGCGTCCAACGCCGGCTCTAGACACTGACCCACTCCCGTGCTCCAGACATTTGGACCGGAGCCCCGTCGAGCCGCGTCACGGGCCCCAGAGCCCACCCACCCAGGACAGGGCCGAAGTGAGGGCCAGCTGCCCTGTGACCCGCGTGCCTGTGCTGCCCTGGCCTTCTGCGCCAGGGGACACGCTGAGCCTTGGCCTCCAACACACATTCAGTGGCTTGGGGACCACAGAGGTCTATGTCCCGGTGACAAAGCCAAAAGGGAACCAACAGCCGTCTGCACAGTCCCCCCCGCAGGGCAGGCCCCGAGGCAGGGACGGCATGCCTTTGCATGCCGGGTCCAGCCATGGGCCTGTGCTGTCCACACCCCGGGGGGGACGCGGGCAGCCGAAGTGACCGCCTCAGCTCAGCCCTCTTGCCTGACCGAGGTGCTCCAACAGGGACTAAGCGCCTGTCCCTCTCAGGGTGCCACCTCCCCGCGCCTGCTGGACACCTGCTCGGCGCCTTCCCTGGGCACAGGCGTGGCCGCTCCCCCAGGCTTCAGGCAGAGTCAAGTCCCAAGCTCATCTCCAGCATGCCACTGGCCCCACGTGCGCGGCGCCTGGCGGCTGGGGGCCGTGGGTCCGGGGGTTCTGGGGGCGTCCCGCCCGGCCGCAGCCGCTCCCCCTCGCACTGCCCTCACCTGGCGGGCCCAGCTGGGGCTCGGCCGGCCTGGCCGAGAACTTCCCTTGGCAAAGTTAGGTAACAGGCTGGGCTCGGAGGCTGGCAGAGGATTGGCGCGACCGCTCCACGTGCTGAGGCTGGCGCGGGGCCAGGCAGCGGCGAGGGGAGGCCTGGCTGCGGCCCGAGCCGGGGGCGGACAGGCGGGCCGGGGCCAGCGCTGCCCATTGGCTGCCTCGGGCTCCCGCCCCGCCCGCCTCCAGCGCCTGCAGCTCCCGAGCCAGCCCCTGCCGCCGGCGGCTCAACTCCGGGTGCAAGCGCCGCCCCGCCGGGCCATGGCGAGCTGTGACCGGATCGGAGTGGCCCCCGCCATGGACATGCCCGAGGTCCTCAAGTCCCTGCTGGAGCACTCTCTGCCTTGGTCAGACAAGAGGACAGGTAGGAGCCGAGGCGGCCACTCCGGCTGGCTGCCCGGGTCCCCCGAGGGGTGGGGACAGCACGGCCCCGCATCTCCACGCCAGGGAGGTCCCCCCGCCGCGGTCTGCAGCCGGCCCCTTCCCGGGCGGGCGGGAGGGCTGGGGTGCAGAGAGGGGCGCGAGGGGGAGGGGGCTGCCCCCAGGCCCCCCCCCGCTGGAAAGCGTGGCTCGCGTGGGGCCGCAGACAGGTGGGGGCTCACGTGGGGTCAGCGGGGGAGCGCCCTGCCGGCTGCTGAGTTCCCGCCCTCCGTGCTGGGCACCCCGCGGGCAGCCCTCCCGAGCGTGTGCGAGCATGCGGGCGCCGAGTGAGTGCTGAGCCCGCACCGTGCAAGCTGTTATGTAACAGGACCACGGCTCGCTCCAGCCCCGTTCCTAGGATACCGCAGGCAAACAGGAAAGGGGGGGTGTGGATGAGGGGCAGAGCCTGCAGCCAGCCCCAGGTGTCCAGGTGTCCTCCCCCCTCCCCAGTCCTGCCCGAGAAACCCCACGACCCGCATCGCATTGGGGGGACAGTCCACTCTGAGTGCCCCCCACCCCCCACCCGTGGGGGTCCCGTAGGACACACAGATGCCGACTGGGCAGGACTGGTGAGTCCACAGGGTCAGAGCACCCCGCAAAGGCCGCACCTCTGTGGCCCCACCCTGCAGTCACCACTTTCCCAGGCTCCAGACCGGTTCCAAAAATCCAAGCGTGGGGGGCGGGGAGAGGGTTCCAGCGCCGAGTGCAGTTTGCAGGCAGAAGGCCCGGGTTCCAGTTCTGCGTAAGGCCAGAGTACTGCCAGGCGCACCCCCCCCCCCCGCACTGCCAGATGGGGCCCGACACCCCGCTGCGCCCCAATAAAGGTGACAGTATCCACCTGAAAAGCAAAACAGCTTGGTGTGCACAGGACACGGGCCACTGAACCTGCGTTCCCGTGGGCTGTGGAACGAGCCCTCCCAGAGTTCTGAGCGGCTTCTCTCCGGGTCCCCCGCCCCCCACTTCCCACAGGTGGGAGGAAGCCAGCAGAGCTGCTGGTTGCCCTGGAAACTGACCTGCTTCCCACCCGAGGCCTGGCACAAGGGGCTGGTTTCTCCTGGGGGCTGGGACCTGTTTGCTGGCCCCTGACCCTCCTCCTCAGCCCGCAGCGCTGCCCAGCGCAGGGCCGGGCCACTCAGAGCGTGAGAGCATCCAGGTGCGAGCTCTCCTCCCTCTGCTCATTCAAAGGCTCCCTGAGGTCCGACCTTGAGCCTCGCTGCCGTCGCACCTGCGGGCCCGGACCCCTCTCCTGCCAGGCAGACATTCCCCGGGCCAAGCTGCCAGGCTCCAGCCTCTCTCAGGTCAAGGCACGGCCCCTAGTGACTCGTCCCTCCCGGCCACCAGCTGAATCAACTTTTCTGAAGGCTGAGAAAT